CTCTCTCTCTCTCTCTCTCTCTCTCTCTCTCTCTCTCTCTCTCTCTCTTTCTTTCTCTCTCTCTCCCTGTCCCCCCTTCACTCTTCCTCCTCCATAACCCCCTGAATAAACATTCAACCTCACCCTGCATTTCGTGTCTATCCAAAAAAAATTTTAAAAATTTAATAAATAAATAAATAAATAAATAAAAGAAGCTTGCCTTACAATGACTGCTCATAGGAAGCAACCATCTATTGAACAAAAAAACAAGAAGTAAAAGGAGAAAATGACCGTTCCTAAGAGGTTGAGGTTTTTGTTGTAGATGCAAAGCAGAGGCAGAGGACTCAGCACCCTGACTGTGGCTGTGGGCTTGCTTGTCTTAGGCAGAAGGGAAAGAGGGGAGGAAGAAGAGAGGGCCTGAGGGGAGAGCAGGGGAAAGCAAAAGTTCCTGGGACCGGACTAAGACTTGAGAAATACCTGATTAATATTTTTCATTAAATCAGTAAATGGAATAAAAATGCAGTTATTCTGGATGCTTTCAAACTGCTTTTTTAGTGTAAAGGTGTAATGAGATGGATAAACCCCACACATTTTATGGTTAGCAGCTGATCATTTTGTTAATCAGATTTAGCTTTACAGTCATCTATACAACGGTGATCATAGCTGGTCTTTACAGTTCTCCATATACCGGTGATCACAGGAAGACAGTTGGTCTTCTTACTGTATACTTTCAGATATAACACTGTGTTCCTGGAGAGTCTGTGTGTAAAGAAAGATTAGGAGTCCAGTGCTGAGTCTGGAGCCTCCTATTAGAGCGGAAGGCTGTGTGCTGGTGTTGGTGGGCCCTCTTGTGGACNCTGTCCTGAAATTCGCTTGGTAGACCAGGCGGGCCTCAAACTCCCTGAGATCCACCTGCCTCTGCCTACCAAGTGCTGGGATTAAATATTATAAAGAAATAGCCGAGCCAGGCTCAATAGCACATGCCCATAAGCTGAGATGGAAACCCAGTGAAGGCCTTTTCAAAAAAAAGTTCAAAGCTTTTCTGGGCCACTTCAAAGATAATAACTGGCTAGTAACAGCGTGCGGTGGAACGGAAAGTCCCAAAGATAACTCGTCAGTTACTGTTCTTAAATGTTTATTCTGTTAACAAGAGATGGTACATTAGTTAGTTTTCTTAACTAAAAAAAAAAAAAGGAAGGAAGGAGGGAGGAAGGGAGGGAGGAGGGAAGGAAGGAAGGAAGGAAGGAAGGAAGGAAGGAAGGAAGGAAGGAAGGAAGGAAGGACTGATAGAAGCAACTTAGTGAAGGACTCTGTAGCTTACAGTCTCAGGAGAAATTGCTCCTTGTGGGTGGGGAAGACATGGTGGCAGGAAAGAGGAGTTTGAGATATGAATTGTTCACATTTTAGCAAATCAGGAAACAAAGAAAAGGAGCATCTTAGGACACAGTCCTACTGGCCTCTATCAGGTAGCTATGCCTAATAACCCAGAGGGTCTAGCTCTATTTACGATGCAACCAGTTGGAGACTAAGTGTTCAAATGCATAAACTTATTATAGAGGACATTTTGGATTCTCTAGTGATATTTTATTTCGATTTTAATGAATAAAGCTTGTCTAAATATCAGAAGGGCAGAGCTAAGCCTTTAGAGGTCTGACAGTGGTGGCACACACCCTTAATCCCAGGATTTGGGAGACAGAGGCTGTTGAATCTCCGTGAGTTCAAGGCCACCCTGGGCTACACAAGATCAATGCTGAAACAAATCCAGGTTATGGTAGCTCACACCTATGATCCCAGCACTAGGGAGTCATAATCCCAGCACTAGAGGGAATATAAAATGGGAGGGCAAAGAGGCTCAAACTGCTTAGTCCACTTAGCCTGCAGTTCCCCAGCCTTGGGAGAGGTAAGACTTCTCTAGCGGCTTGGCTGCTTTGCTTTTCTGGTTTTCAGGCTAAGCCCCAATTTCTGTCCTTGGGTTTTTATTATTCATGCTATGGGATTCAACACTAACAGATGGGGAACCTAGACTTGAGAGTTAGTGAGAGAGAAATCCCACCCTCACCCTGGGACATTCTCGCATGGTAGATACCAGAATGAAAATGAACAGGGGTACTACAGTGCACACTGTCAGTCTGAGACCTTGCCAATATTCAGTAGAGAGAATCTGTGGGTCCTAATATTGAAAATGACATCTGAATTTTATATCCCACAGGATCTGGGGAGCCTCTATTGGGTTGTACTGTGTTGTACTGCTGACTCATATGTTTAAAATATGTAGCTCTACTCCCTAAGATAACATTAGGAGATAGAGATTTGGGAGGCAATTCTATCCTGTTCACAGCATTGGTATCCTTATTAAGACAGGCACTGGAATCGCATGTTCATCTCTTCCCCAACCCCACAGTGTGAGGACCCAGCAAGAAAACAGCCATTAAAAATTAAAAAGATAGTTCTTGCCAGAGCCTGCAGGCCGTCTTGGCTTTCCGGTTTCTAGAACTATGAGACAGTAAGCATCAGTGATTTAAGCCGGCGTGTGTGGTGCTTTGTTATGGCAGCTGGTAATACAGCCCGGGAGGAACTTGCTGTAACAGCCCGAGTCTAGAGAAGACCAGTATCGCCTTATCAAATGCCCCGTTCCTCCACTGGGTCATCTGTAAATCAGTGGCACTCAAATACCACTGAGGAAAGTGGAAGTGACCCTGCAGGGAACTGTTCCCAATCTTTCTCAGAGCAAAATCACAGAACATGGTGGTCACTGGCAGAGGTTCAAGGTTTGTGCCTTAAAAACCACTGCTTCCCTAGAGCTGAAAACTTCAGAACGGCAGTCCAACCTCAGTCTACCCTGGGGATGCCAGAGAGAAGTTCTGAGGTACGGGGACAGTGTGTAGGTTTGGAAGATGGCAGAACCTGACGAGAAAGGCAGGGCAGGAACCCCATAGATAGGACAGTCTTCTAAAACAGACCTTTCTGGACCATTCTGCCCAGTGCTGTGTGGACCTGGAATCCTATCCTATCCTTACTGCCTTTGGCCTAACTAGCTTCCAGGGAGCTTTTCAGCTGCCTGTGGATTCCTCGTTGGCTCTATGTTTAGACAGAGGGGAGTGTAAAGTGTTTTCCATCCGACAACCCTCTCCCCAGATGCAATAATCCAAATCAGACCAAATCAAACTGAATTAGACAAAGCCCAGCTTTAATGCATGCCAGTACTCCCAGAGCTCCCAGGTGGCCCTGAGAAACCACGGAGAGTGGGGTGGGAGGAGAACCAGAAAGACCATGTGTTTCTTCTCTGGGAATCAGTTTAAACAGCCTGTGGGAGTGGTCTTGACCCTCTCTGGGGAGGGGTCACCGTTTGGTGAGCTTTCTTGGAGGTGGAGTCTGGACTGTGGCAACTCCCAGGGGAGGGGACTTGGGGTGGAAAGTTCCACCCAGAACATTTTAGAATTGATGCTAAGGGGCCTGGGGTGGCACTTCCAACCAGTGAGCAGCAATACACTACTATAGCTCACATGGTAGCTGCTGGGAGCCTTCCTTTACTTTACTTCTTACTTCTCACTTTTCTGGGTCTAAACACTTTCCTACCAAAGACAAAGAAGGTGATACATTGCACAGCTGACCTGAAAAGTAAGAAATAAGAGGGTATGCCTCCGAAACAACCGAAAGAGGTGATGCAAAGTCCCTGTACAGGATTGGCTCGCCGTCTACACAACTCTGAAACCACTGACAACAGTTCTGCCTGCGGACACCAGCCTGACAGGGAAGACATCAGTGATCTTAGACCACGGTATGTGCTATTCTCGGGCAACTTCAATGTTTTCTGCTCATAACCCTTTTCTCTGCAGAATATTAACACGATTCAGGAAACAGGTAGATAAAATAGGTATACAAATCATCCTATTGATAACAAATCATAAACAATTTTAGTTTGAAGCAATTCTTTGTCATACATGTAAACATATGTTCATAAGGCAGGCTACCCACTTACTACAATTTCCAAATTTGTAGTGGGTGACTCAAAAAGCCCATGGGTTAAAAGGCTTATTGCTTCAGGCGGTGCTGACCAGAAATGTGGAACAGGCAACAGGAAGGGACCTGAAAAGAAGGCCCCTGCCCTTGTTCTCATTTGCCTCCTGACCTCACTGTTCCACCATGTTCTTCAGCTATAATGTGCTGCTGCAGCCCAAAGCAACAATGCCCAAATAGTCACAGGCTATAAATCTCCAAAACTGTGAGATTACGTGCATTGATTTATTTCTGTGGAAATGGGGTACTTGTCACTGAGCCCCTCTGGATGCCAGAGGGTAATTTATAGGAGCTGGTTCTATTGTTCCACTGTGTGGGTCCTGAGGATAAAACTCAGCTTCTCAGGATTAGCAGCAAATGATTTTATCCACTACTGAGCTATCTCACCCACCTAAGTCTTTTTATTTTTTGCTTATTTTTGCTTTTATCGTGGGCATTTATTATGATGATAGAGAACTCACTAACATAGAATTTAAGGCCAACAAAATATAAATTTAAAAGGAGAAGAAAAACTTTACCTAAAACCAGATAATCCAAATAAATTTATAACTATTAAATAAACATCTATAATTTCAATTTCCCTCCCCCACAGGGAAAAATCTAGGCTTGAACACATTTTCAAAAAAATTCTAGCCCCACATTTAAGGGAAAAATAATGAAAACATAATATAAGGTGATGGGAGTGATATTTAGTGGTTAAGACAGCACACTACTCTCAGGGGACCTGGGATCTATCATCATCCACCCTCAAGGTGACTCACAGCAGTCTGTACCTCCACTTCCACAGTATTTCACGCTCTTCATACCTCCAGAGGCACACAGAGTACATACAGATGGATGTATTCAGGCAAATCACATACACACACACACACACACACACACACACACACACAAGATAAAAATAATCTGTTAAAATTTTTAAACCAAAAACTACAACAAAAAAAGAAAATATAACTTAAGATTTTCAAGGGATTAAAAAAAGAGATGAGAAGTTTCTTCCCCACATATCTAACAAAGCCAGAATAAACCTGGTATTAAAACTAAAACAAAATAAGAAAGCATAAAGGTGGGCTACTATTATTAATTAACATACATTCAAAACCAAACAGGATTAGTAAATTTGAATTTGAAGATACAGTGACATCAGAAGAGGTTACACAACACCAATCTCCTAACCACAGTTAGAAACTCAGGACCAAAGAACAGCCTTATGCAGAGGGGCATCTGGAGGAACAGAAGCCCAGGGGAAGGGAACGCACTGGGTAGATCTAACTCGCTGGCGTCCCACGCAACAGCTCCCCTCACTCAGACTTGCACATGAGAAGGAGCCTGAGACAAAGCAGCATGCTCGTTGAGCTCAGGATTCAGATGTGAGAGAGAGTCTGGGGCTGAGGGTGACTGGAACTTAAGAGAAATCCTAGGCAAACAAAGGGGTTCCAAATTCTGTGGGGAAAAAAAAAAAGACTAGTTCTCAAACTCTCAACTGTCCCCTAGCATCCAAACACCAGACAGAAACCAGCAATAGTGTGAGAGATTGGCATCTCCTCCCCTCTGGAGGCAGAGCTGGAATTCAATCCCTGAAATTTAAAGGTAGCTTTCCTTCTCCTGTGGAAACACAAGCAAAACCCCAACATAACACTTGTCCTGGATTACATTCTAAGGTCAGTCATGTTTAATGTATATCAGCTGATTTAATTCCGTATTTTTACTACTATACATTGTGTTTCTGCAGTTGTTGTTCCTTTCTCATTAGTATTTAGAAAATTCAAAGTTAATAAAGCATTATCAAGTCATTTCTGGTGGCCTTTGTCATCCCTTTCTGCTCATTTAACATATCCTTTAGAGTTCAATTTGATCTTTCGATAATTGCCTGACCTATAGAATTGTGTCGCATACCTATAATACGTTTTATATTATAATAAACAATAACTGTTATATTTTCTTAGAGACATGCTGGAGCATCATCTGTTTTTATTTGTACAGGAATACACAGGGTGGCCATAACTTCTAGCAAATGTGTGATTACCTAGTCAGCCTTTTCTGCCCACTGAAAATCTGAACAGGTATCAATAGTGTGGTGCACATATTTTAGCTTTCCAAATTCTACAAAACATAACACATCTATTTGCCAGATTTCATTGCTTTGAGTACCCTCTGGGTTACTTCCCAGAGGTAGTGGTATTTTGTATAAAGAACAAGTAAAACATTTCCTTACAATTTCCTTGGAAACATCTTTTATTTAAACCTTTGCTATTGACATGATTTTTTTAATGAAATTCTGAGGCCTTCATCATTTTTCCAATTTATAATTGATTTATTTTTTCATTACCTTATGCTAGAGGGCCTGGCAGAACTGTATGAAATCAGATGTGTGTTATATATGTGGGATGATTCCTATTCCTGATTATTTCTTGTAATTAAATAAATAATAAAGTTTATTGTGTATCATCTAGTATAAATTCAGCAGTTTCGATATGCAAAACAATTCTTTCTGCATATTGCAAAACATTAACTATGTTGAAAGTTTCCATAAAATCTATTAGTAGCATTAGAATAACATAATTCTGACTTTTATACAAAATCATGAGAGCTTAGATCCACTTTAATTTTTCTGATTTATAACCTGCCTTTCCTGGTTTATTTGCATCCCAGGTAGGGAGCCACAAGGCAGGTAAAAGACCAGGATGGATAGGTACTCCATGCAGAGTGAGGTTGGGATATTTATTTAGTGGGTTATGGATGGGAAGGGGAAAGGGGAGAAGGGGAGAAAAGGTAAGAGCAGAGAGGGAGAGAGAGGGAGGAAGCAGGGAGAGGAGAGGAGCCACTGCAGCAGCTACCTCTTTGGGACAGAGACAGACAGCAGGGAGGTCAGACTGGAAGAGGAAGGAAGATCTGCCTACCTTGAGGGGGGGTAGTATCTTAAAGAGACAGGACAGACCATTACAGGTACAGGGAGAAATATGACCAGAAAGCAGTTATTATTGCACAGGATACACATGTGCCATCTGTAATTTCTCTTCTACCAAAGCCAATTCTCTGTCCGCTGCACTGATAATTTTCTAGGCCTATTTAAGTTCTTGTCACCATCTAAAATTTTAATTTTAAATTAATCGGTTCATCATGTTTTATCCCAATAGTGAGTCATAGATAGGAAATGTCTCCTAGCAATCTTTGAAAGTCATTAAGAGTTTGCAATGATCTCTCCTAATTTGTACCTTCTGGGATCTAAATTCTGTATACCTATTTTATAGCCTAAATAATTAATAGAATCTCCTTTTTTTCAGCAGCAATTTGCAACCCCCAACAAGACAAAAATTTTCCTTATTTCTTCAAACATTCTTTCTAAAGTATCTACATTTGAATCATATAGCAAAATGTCAGAGGCTTGGGGGGAAAAAAGAAAAGAAAATCTATCCGGGAGGTTCAGGAGCCCCCACGTTCAGCTCCTGCTTATGCCTTTGCCTATGGCGTTTTTTGTGAATTACTGCCTTTAAGTTGGGCACCAATATGTAGCAGGAATACTAATAGGCCTTAACAATAAAAGTCCAGAGTCAGATACAGGGTAAAATGCTGAGAGGCAGATAGACAAAGGAGAGAAACCACTGTCACCTACTCAACTTCCTCCTGCTTTATCACTTCCTCTCTCTCTGCGCAGCCATATCAATCCTATATGTCTGTACAGTTCTCCAGACCTCTATGGTCAGCTAGTAGCTAGCTTCACCCTCTGGTCGTCAGGTAAGCTTTACTTGTACAAACAAGATATCACCATACTTTGGTCCCCCATTCAAGCTACACGTAGTCACCCTTCTCCACACAATCCTATACATTCTTAAGACCTCGTCTTCTGACTTATGACTGATGCCTGTTAGTCTCCTTCATGCTGCCTGGATACCTTGCATGGGACGCTGTCAACGCTACACCTTCTCCCTGATCAGCACACTGCTGAGAACACCGCCTGGAGCTACAGTTCAGGTGGGAAAAACACTGAAATTTTTGCTGTTGGCCACAGCGACTACTTCAAGACCCCTTCTTCTAGGCTTAACTGCTGCAGCCTACACCAGCACTGGGAAATTTGACCTCACCCATGAATAGCCTCAGTGACCTCCAGATGACTAATATCCAATATAAGTTAGATGATACCGTAAGGAACAGAACGAAAAAGCAGCAGTTTGGAGGAGAAAGAAGTGGGTTTGGGGTTGAAGCAGCACACTGTATAGACCTCTCAGTTTCACCTTTTTTAGCTGGTCAAATTTGATGTTTTTTGAAGACCACATCAAGGCAAGCGCACTGTAGGCTGGCACCCAGCCTGGTGCACACAGTAGGTACCAAAGGAATATTCTCAATTCACATACAGGCCTCGCTTAATACTCTTTGCAAAGCTTATTACAAATTTATTCTGTTATCTGTTTTCGTCTTTCTTTCCCTCACAAGCTTTCGGGTTACATAAAGGTCTGCACTTCTTTTTCTACCTTGGCAATCCTTGGGAGGTCTAAGTGCCTAGGATAAGACAGGAAAGGGTTAAATCAATCCTGGCTGGGGTGGTTTACGAGTATCCATTTTCACTGCCAAAAGCTTTACTGCGTTTCTCTTCTTCAAAACGGATGCGGAGAGAGGGATGTACCATCCAATCCTTGATAAGGGAAAACGAACAATTGGACCAAGACTTAAAAGATGGAGTTGCAACGTTCATCTGTTGAGTTGCGTGGACCTGTAAGTCAAGGCTGCACTCAGGGACGACCTACAGTATCTCCCGGGGAGTGGCCGAGAGACTGCACACAGAGGTGCAGAAGGTAAAAGGCTGGAGGGTCGTGAGGACCGGTGGGGAAAAGGGGCGAGGACCAACCTTACGCAACTCAGCTCCGCCCACTCCCGAGGGGGTGGTCGCCGAGTGGCTCCGCCCCCTCCCGCGGTCGCTAAGTAACCAGCCCCGGAAGTCGCGAGTCCGGGGCGGGCGGGCGGGCGGGCGGGCGCGGAGAGCTGGTGGAAGATGGCGGAGGGAGGGCGCGCGGAGCCGGAGGAGCCGGAGAGGGGGTCCTCGAGGCCCCGACCCCCGAGTGCGCGGGACCTACAGGTGCGGAGGCCGGGAGCGCGGCGGCGGGCGGGAGGGCGCGGGGCAGAGCCACTGGGTACCTCGCCTGAGCCTTGCCCGGACCCTGTCAGAGGAGGGGAATGACGGCTCGGGTCTCTCGGGGAGGTGCGCGGCGGGGTGGTGGGCGTGGAACCCAGGGCGCGCGGCGCGCCGGGCAGCTGTGGGCTATGTCATTTTGCGGAGCGGTCTGCCTGCTGGAGAGTTCCTATGGCCATCGCTTGAAAAATAATTTAAAAAATAACGCGTGTTGATTCGTTCTCTTGGATGCTCTTTGGGATTTCAAGACTTACACATTAAAGGCACTTTTTTTTTTTTTTCCTTATCAAAAAGCTTGGCGTTTTTACAGGAGAGCTTAAAACAGTTCAGGCTGTGGTTGCAGCCCACTTGTAGGAGTTAGTCCATGAAACAATGTAACAGAAATAAAACTCGATAATGTTACTATGCCGACGTTAGTCAGCTGAACACTTGTCCACTAAATGCTACTTTATCAGATGCTAACAGGTACTTGCTCATTTTAGGGCATTTTCTGTCTCCTCGTGAGATCATTGATAACACTCAGCAATTAGACATGTGTAGGGGGTTATGGTTAAGAATAAATGAGCCTGAATTCTCCAACCTCGGCAGAGCAGTTTTGGTAGCTGGTCTTCATCTTTAACCAAACATAACTGACTACTTGCTGTTTTAACTTTGGGGAATTTGGAGCTAAATAGGCTATCAAATTCATAAGTAGTACAGGTTACTGTTGTATGGTGTTAAGTATTTTGAAAGACCACAGACTTGAAACAGGCTTCTAAACTAGCCTTAATAGACCAAACCGATGTAAAGTTACAATGGTATTGATTGAGCATTGGTTCGCTACAGATGACCCAGAAGCCACTGAACTAATTGTCTTAGTCAGGGTCACTACCGCAGAGATGAAACACCGCGACCAGAAAGCAACGTGGTGGTGGTGGGGGGAAGGGTTTATTTGACTTAGGCTCCCACATCACTGTTCATCCTCAAAAGGCAGTCAGGCTAGGAACTCAAGCAGGGCAGGGACCTGGAGACAAGCCTTGGAGGATGCTGCTTACCTGCTTGCTCCCTGTGGCTTGCCCCGCCTGCTTTCTTAGAGTACCCAGGACCCCCCAGCCTAGGGATGGCACTACCCACAATGCACTGGGCCCTCCCCTATCTATCATTAAGGCCCCCCTCCTCCCTAATGACTCTAACTTTGTTAAATAGGGGTAGTAAAGGTGACCGAGAGACGCAGAGGAGTCTGCTGGGGGAGAGTGAAGACAGGGACAGTTTAAAACTAAGACCTTTTAGTAGTGATGGGTATTTGTGCCTGTGCTTTACATACACTAATCTTTCAACTGATGTTGACAAAAATTTCGTTAGGCATTTAAAGACGTAAAAACTAAACTCAGTGATGTTCAGTGATCCATCAGACTTACACAGTAACTAGTGCCTTAGTTAAGGTTTGAATCCACCTTAGGGCCTCGGTTATTTATTCTTCTTTTCCTTCTGAGGAAAAAGTACACAGAGATAGTTACCTGGTGGGGGAAAGGGCTTGTTTGGTTGTAGCGTGAGTGGGGGCCCAAAGATTATAATCACCCCCATTGAATACCCACTAGGAGCGTTAAGGAAATTTGTTTTGTTCTGCCTGTTTTTTTTTGGGGGGGGGGGACAGGGTGTCTCTACACAGCCCTGACTATCCTGGAACTCACAGTGGACACCAGGCTGGCCTCGAACTCACGGATATCTTCCTGCTTCTGCCTCCCAAGTGCTAGGATTAAAGGGGTGTGACACGATGCCTGAATGAAAAAATTTTAATTTGTTACTCAAAACAGCAGAAGGAGAGGGAGGAAAGAACTCTGTAATAATTACATTAACATTTTAAATTCTAAATTTCAAGGACAAATATATTTTTACTTTATTTCGAAAGTAAGCAGCTATGTATCTGCAGTGTGTGATTTTGCAGTATTGCTTTATAAGTGGTTGAAACCTATATTTAATTCATTGTCTTATTTTTCAGCTTTCTCCTGAACTTGATGAAATTTATGTCTGATAGACTTTTAGGCGATACTTTTGAACTTGTTTCATGTTCCTGAATTATGAAAACTACTAAGCGAAATTATATTGTGAGATTGATTTAGAGAAATTGACTATAGCATGAACTGTCTTCAGAAAGCCTTGAGAGCCTGGGTGAAAGTTACACAGGTCCAGAGGGGAAACCAGTGTCTTGCCAAACTCAGTTTTTGAAACTGTTGAATAGTTAATTAAAAGAATTATTGTAACAAATTTTCTCTGGCATAGGCAGTTTATTTAATTGAATACTATGAAACCTCACAAGTTAGTTTCTTTTGGAAAGGCAACATCTTTTGAGGCAACAGCCTTCATTTTTTAGTGGGAAATTGTTAATGCCCACTTCCAAACTAATGCGTGTTCCTCAGCTGTCTGCAAGTGTATTTCCATCGCTAGCTGGATAACAAGCCTGTTGTTGTGTGTAGCTGGCCTTGGCAGGACTGTACGAGGAGGAAGTGAAATGCAATTCTTCCAGGCCGGCCAGATCTGCAGCTCCCGTCTTTAAGAGCCCACGGACACTGCCGCAACGGTGAGTGTTGCTTCCCGACAGCTACCTTCAGTAGCTTAGCGCACTGAGCCGATTTTAAGTCACTTTGAGGATTTTCTAAGTTAATTTTTTAAAAATAAATATGGAGGTACTATTCTAAAATTTTTATAGTCAGTGAAAAAAAAAAAAAAACTTCTGAAGAAATCCCGTGGTTGCTGCAATTATCCTAAGCACCACATGAATTCTGTCTTGAATCCTGGAGCTCTAATATTTTTGTCCTAATGCTCATTGAGCTCGATGACGTGTCCAGGCTCTCCTCTCAACAGCACTCGTGTGCAGTCTTGTCTGTTGAGGGCCAGCAGGGTTCTCACCGCCACCCACGGGGGCTCTGCAAGTCCCTGGTCCCCACTGAAGAATCTGTCAGTTCTGAAGTCTCTGTGTGCTTCTGTACTGCGATGCCTGGTCTCACATGGTTTCCTCGGATGTATTTGTTGTCATTAAAATCTCTGGATGACAGAAAGAACAGACTAGAGGTTTAGAAGAATCACATTTATTATAGTGTGAATATTTTTATTGGTTTTTTAGTATTACCTTAGAGAACAAGCTTTAACTTTCTTATTACCTCTCATTCTCAAAAAATATAATTTCATCAGAAGTAGAAAAAAATTCTCTGGACACTATGTTTTTTCACTTTATATATTTTTTTGAAGGGGAGACAAAAATGATACATCTTCCTGTACTTGAATGATAAGAAAAGTCCTTATACTTTCTCCCCTGTGTTTCCTTTACAAATGTTGAGGCCCGTAGAAAGTGTGAAGGTTAGTCAGGTGAATAAAGACTGAGCCTTTCCCTTTCTTCACCTGGGCTAATGTGTCCTCAGATAGCCCTGCCCTCACTCGCTTCCTTTTCACTCAGCTATCTGAAAGCAAATGACAGCATTCATGACACCCGCTTCTAGACGTTTCATTGTGTACCCCCTAAGAAGAAGATATAGAACCCAAATAACAAAAAAGTGTAGCTTACAAATTAACAGTGGCACCATGATGTCATATCTTCAGCCGCTTTGGGGATATGGGGACCCAGCTAAAGACTACTCATTGCATTTGACTTTTCCTGTGTTGAGTTTTAAATGTAGAAACATATTCTCTCTCTCTCTCTCTCTCTCTCTCTCTCTCTCTCTCTCTCTCTCCCTCCCTCCCTCCCTCCCTCCCTCCCTCCCCCTCCCCCTCTCCCTCTCCCTCTTCCTCTCCGTCTCCCTCTCCCTCTCTACCTGTATTTAGCTCACCTTCATATTGTAAAATTTATTACATTCACTGTTTTAAAAAGTATACACCAGATGTCTCAAAATATCCTACATTCTAGATCCCTGTTTCCTCATAATTAGATTCTTGTTAAACATTTTTGTCAAGAGTATAGATAAGTGATACTGTCTGCTTTTTATTATATCACATCAGGAGCCATATAGTTCCAAGTTTCCCACTCTTGGTGATATGCTCAGTTGGTTAAGGTGCTGACCACCACACCACTCCATTGTCAGGTACAGTCTGTCCTTGTAATCAGCAGGTTGGTATCTCGGCATGGTTTGAATATACTATCCTTTGACTTAGCTCTTATTGTTAGATATATGAGTATATGTAGATGTGTGTAATATTTTAATTACCTCCTTAATGTATATATCCCCCCCATTTTTAAAGTATTTAATGTGATTCTATCTAAGTTTTCCTCACTCAGTAGTTCATTGTTCAGCCTTTGATTCCCTAACTTGAGCGCATGAGAAGAACTTAACTTTGCTCTTAGTGCAGTAAACCTGATTTGAGTTTTTGCAAGATTGACATGTAGATATTTTCCTTGTGTTTCATGGGTTAATTCTGTGACCATGAGCTAAGGTTGTCCTAGGCTGCCAAGAGGTGCAAGCCATTTTGAGCAACCTTTGAAAATACTAAGATCTGTGGATGTGACTCAGTGGTAGAGTATTGCCTAGCATGTGCAAGGCCTTGTAATCAGCAGGTTGGTATCTGCTAGAACTCTTTCTTTCTCCCCATTGGATGCATTTACTTATGCAATCCGAAAAGAATTTGTTGTTAGTAGCTTGATTTGGTCGTGCTCTTTGTTTGTTCATTTGGGGGTGCCATGGACTAAACTCAGTATGGCACACACATTAACCATGTACTCCTACCCCTGAGCCGTACCCTCCAACCAGTAATACTGACCTCAGCAACCATTTACCACTCATAAGGATAAATTTCTGTAAAAGATTCGGAGGCTGTTTAATCACTTCAGGTACATGTGCACAGAGATCATCGGCAGTCTTTTCTGCGCATGATACCAGTAGTTTTCACTTGCTGCAGCAGTTCACAGCTCCCTGCTTCACCTTCAGTGAGATCGTTTGCCCTGCTCACTGTCTGTCTTCCTAGGGCAGTGTTAGAAATCAAAGTGGTTGTGTGCTCCCTGTCACTTCCTGTGGTTTTCAGGTTTGCAGCCTAGTCAGGCCTGGAACTCACTGTTAGTCAAGCTACCCGCAATCCCCCTGCCTCAGCCTCCCAAGGCTGAGATTTCCAGAGACTGCTAGCACCATCACACCTGGCGCCCTGGCTTTTCAAGCTGCACTGGTTAGTTTCTGTCAGCTTGACACAAGCTAGAGTCTCCTGGGAAGACCAGGTGGTCCGAGGTATAAGAAGGTTGAGCAAAGCATGTGAGCAACCTAGTGAGTAGCATTTCTCTATGTCTCTGCTGCAGTTTCCACCTCCAGGCCCCTGCCATCACTCCCCTCAGTAGTGATAACCTGTATGATGTAATGAACCCTTCCGTCACCCAGTTTGCTCTTTGTCAGTAGAAGCTAAATAAAGCACTAATATAGTTTCATTATCAAAAATATTAGACATAATGTGGTCTATGCCTTTAGCTTATAGGAAGTGTGTAATCTTTAGACCAGCTTTAACAAATTCGCTCATGCAAGGCTGTATGCCAGCAGCAGAACAGACGCGTCCTCTCCGGGTCATCACTTATGTAGCATTGTCTTGAGAATTAAAGGAGATGGACGGTGTGATATGCCTAGCATGGGCCTTAAACAGTTACTAAAATCCAAGTAAGCCCCGGGGGTCGGGGGCAGAGAGGCGTAGAAGGAAACGTGAAGCAAGGACAGGAGAGCACAGAAGGAGAAGCTGCGGAACGTCACAGATTACTGGAAGTGCAGCCAGGGTGAACCTCACGGGTATGTGACCTTGCTGTCACACAAGTCTACGCTTAGGAGGGCCCTCTTGTGAGTTAAGCGCTTGACTCCCTAGTGTATTTTGAGTGAGGAGACTTAGATGTTCATTTGCAGTTGGCTCCATTATTATGCCGCATTCATTCAAGTCACTGAAATGCTTGTGTGCAGAAAGTTCATTCAGTGAAAAGGAGCCGGAGTGCAAGAGCTCAGCCCCCATGTCTATTGGGGGGGTCTCTTTATTAACCACCCCTAGCCTGTTTTCTCATCTGGAAAATGGGGATCACTTAGTTATAAGATGTATGAAAATATATTTGCCCTTTGATAATATTAACTGTTAATCTTTTGGGGGAAATAGGAAAAAGCATATTTTTTTTTTTAAAATCAATGTCAAGTTAAAACAATGGGAGAAGAAGAGACAGCCCAATTTCGGTACCCAAAATGGCAAGACAACAGTAAGCGGTTACACTGGTACCCCAAATGGCAAGACAACAGTAGGCGGTTACACTGGTACCCCAAGGGATAAGACAACAGTAGGCGGTTACACTGGTACCCCAAGGGACAAGACAACAGTAGGCGGTTACACTGGTACCCCAAGGGATAAGACAACAGTAGGCGGTTACACTGGTACCCCAAGGGACAAGACAACAGTAGGCGGTTACACTGGTACCCCAAGGGACAAGACAACAGTAGGCGGTTACACTGGTACCCCAAGGGATAAGACAACAGTAGGCGGTTACACTGGTACCCCAAGGGACAAGACAACAGTAGGCGGTTACACTGGTACCCCAAGGGACAAGACAACAGTAGGCGGTTACACTGGTACCCCAAGGGATAAGACAACAGTAGGCGGTTACACTGGTACCCCAAGGGACAAGACAACAGTAGGCGGTTACACTGGTACCCCAAGGGACAAGACAACAGTAGGCGGTTACACTGGTACCCCAAGGGATAAGACAACAGTAGGCGGTTACACTGGTACCCCAAGGGACAAGACAACAGTAGGCGGTTACACTGGTACCCCAAGGGACAAGACAACAGTAGGCGGTTACACTGGTACCCCAAGGGATAAGACAACAGTAGGCGGTTACACTGGAATGAGGGAGAGGATGGAATTGCACTAGTGTTTTCTAAAACTTGGTTATAGAAACTTCCTGGCACAGATACAGGGCATGAGTAGGAAAGAGAGTTTGGGGAGCTGCGGTAGATCTGTGCTTGCTGACGAGAGGCCTGCAGCATGGAACTTGGTTGGCCTTAGAACTGGTGGACTTCATTCATGCAGGATTACTCAGTAGGCGCTTATTTTTTTAAGGTCTTTACAAAGTTTAAATGTCAATGAGTTAGGGCCAGGCGTGGTGTCATATGGCTTTACTCCCTACACTGGGCAGGTAGGGGCTGAAGGTCAACATTAGCTGTGTACAGAGGCTGTCTCACTCCTGCCCCAGGCAACCAGCCAAACAAAGAGAGAGCTAGGCATGATCGAGTATGCTTGCAATTCCAGCACTTGTGTGGCTCAGGCAGGAGGACCACAGCTTGTGCTGCATGGCGAGAGAATGGAAGAAAAGATGTTTTTAAAGGGAGGTGAAATATTACCTTTGAGTCATTGATCGGAAGTTGCAATGGGAGTGGATAAATACTTTTTTGATCAAATGAGTTTCAAATAAGAGGAGAACAGAAGGCAAAGGCATCGACATCTTATTGTGGAAAAGGGAAGAAAGTAAATTTAGTAAAACCAAAGCATGGTTGGAACCCCATGAAACTGCACAGCGGGGCAAACGGTGCCTCTCAGGAAAGTCAAGGAAAGATGAAGTTCCCATGTGAAGTGAGAAAATAAAAGCGGGCAATGTTGCCACTGCTCCAGTTGTAGGTACCCTTGGTCCTCTGTCTCTACCGAGAACAGCTAGAGAATTCATGGAGCATTCTTTGAGCTTAGGACACAAAGTACTCGTTATGAAGACTTGTTCCAAAGCTGCAGAGGCCTAAGAGTCTGACCAGTGAGTCAAAACTGGGACACTGAATCTCCCACCCTTGGAGATGGCTGTTTGGCTCTGACAAAGATGCCACTGCAGAGCAACGAGGAGAGGGCATTTCATGTCATTGTCTAAGGGAAGAAATTAGCACTGGCCTCTCTTTCCCTTATGCAACACACAGTCAGTTCCAGACAGCTTGCAGCTCTGACTATAAATATCAGTGAGGCAGCATGATCTCAGGGAAGGCCATAACAAAACCGCTAAATCTTTTCCTGTGACCAGTTTTCCCAGGCCTTTGTCACAAGGCAAAGAGGCAGGGTCGTTCACTCTGCCAGCTTGTTGACATGAGACAGGGAGGGAAGAAGCTATACTTGGGGACAAACATGGCAGGAAGCTGTGCTGGCTTTGTTTGTCACAGTTCCTGAGGTTGTGTGCTATGCAGTCCCTTACTTATTTCAGAGACAGGCAGACTTTCTTCGTGTGTGCTGCACCCACCCCCACACCACAGGTATGCAGTGCAAGCCTGGGACGACTCTGTGGGTTCTAGTGGACTCAGTGACACTGATGGGGTGGTGCCCCTTCCCACAGCAGTAGTGGGGTTCTGCTGGTGTACACACCTGTGTCCAACTGCCGCTTCCTCTGTAACTTGGTTGCCAGTTTAGGAGAAAACCTTGAAGGGAACCTCTGTTCCCTGTGCAGGGCTGTTGTAGTTTCCGCCATTGCTCTGTGAGTTAGTGGGAACTGGAGTAGGAGTGGGGAAATAAAAAGTGAACTCTGTCACCTTGCACGGGAAGTTTCTATGTGTTACTTCATTGTTAAATTTTCTGATCTCCTTGGGAAAGGTTAGGATAATCTTAGGTGAATGGAGATGTGTGTTTTGTAGCCTTTCGGAAGTTAGAGTCAGGGCAGATCTTAGTACAAAGGGAATGTATGAAGTTATTTACACTGGGAATTGTAATGCACTAGGTCTTTCTGAAGAATAAACCTTTGTGTAGCCATATGGGGCAAGAATAGCCTCCACCTGTTGCCAGTGCCCCCCTCCCCCGCCCCAACAGGAGAAGAACCCTTAAGCAGTCACCCAGGTCGAGGTGGGAAGCCAGGGCCCCAGTCACTGTGCTGGTGGTGCAATGTCAGGCTCCACAAACCCAGAAGGGGTGCAGACGCTCCCTGTTTTCTGTTTGCCCGGGTTCTGTTGTACAGTTAGATATCCTGAAGAGCTCAGTGTACTGCTTTATAAAGAAAAGTTATTTCCTGTGGCTGTGTAGCTTCTTATTTTAGAGTGGTTTGTGTCTGTTCTGAGTTTTTATTCATGAGCTGTGATTTTTAAAGGCTTTATTCAGGTGACCAGGAATGTGGTGGAGTACATATAGCTCAGCCTCCACCGGGGAACATTGTGAATGACCTTTTCAGAGAGGCAAGGGAGCATGGGGCCGTCCCTCTAAGTGAAGCCACACGATCTTCAAGTGACGACAAAGCTAAGGTCAGTGCTGTCTGTGACTGTACTGTTTCTGGGAAGGTGTGAGCTACTTGGTCATGTGTCGTGGTGATGCCTTTCTGATCTTTCTGGCCCCATGGTTGAGAATGACTCCTCCATGAAACTTCAGCTTTAGGCTTTATTTGGCAGCAGCTGGGAAACTTCCTCCTGTCAAGCCTTGAGGTCATTTTAACCTTTCCGCGTTCTCCAATTCTGTAAGCAAAGTATGGAGTTGATTTCATATGTGGAACAAAGTAAGGTTGTAATCTAAAGCACATTTGTCATGCAAATGGTAATTAAAAGAATAGCTGTTTCTGCCCACAGTATCCTCCCTGAGGACTATGTGTTCAGTACAGCAATATCAAAAGTGTGATCATAGCCTACTTGATGTAGGTAAGATCAAATTGTGACTATAGCTGACTTCCGGCAGCTAACAAAACAGCTTAAGATGGAGGTCATCTCAGGAAACGACACATGGACGCAGTGCAGAAATCAACAGTTGTGGTGAAACTCAGCCACAACAGATACATCTGCATCCCGGCTCCTGCTTCTGTGGCTCAGGGAATATTGTGAAAGAGGGGGCAGGAAGGTTGTAAGAGCCAGAATACCAGGAATTCTGTAAAAGTCCCCTAGAAGTGGCTGCATAACCAAGACTGGAACAATGGCAATTTCAAGGGAGGGGGAGATCGCATGTGGTCACACCCCTAAGAACTACAGGCAACCCTCGACTGCTAGGAGAAGGAGGATTACCCTCTCCCAGGGATGATACCTTGTTGGTTATCCAATACAGAGTGGTCAGCCTAGAAACTATATACACACCACCAATAAAAACATGTATTTACATACATGTATTATGGAACAATAATGAGGTATGTATTTACATACATGTATGTATGGAACAATAAGAAAAAAGAGGCTCTCAACTTGGAGTGGGGATGTGGGAGGGGCTAGAAGGGAGAAAATGATGTCATTTCTATTTCAGTTAAAACAAAAAAATTTAAAGCCTATAAAATACATACAGAATTCTTTAACAATTTGTAACATTTATTTTGCGTGTGTGGTCGTGTACACACAAACCCACAACCCACATGTGGAGGTCAGAGGACACTTTGCAGGAGTTGTTCTCCTTCTACCGTGTGGCTTCTGGGGATCAAACCAAGTTATTGCACATTTCGCATTACTAATGTTTATATGAAAAGACATTTAACTTCTCACATACACTTGCTGGTAACTTAAGGACTTTATTCCAATGTATTTCCCTAGTCACTATGAATCTGGCCAATAATTTCTTGTCTAGTTTTGAAATATCAAGTATCCAAATAACATTCTGACTATAAGCCATAGTGAATTCTTAACCCATTTATCCTTTGTTCCAGTCGTTTACAGGTGGAGGATACAGATTGGGCAGCTCCTTCTGTAAGCGGTCAGAGTATATCTATGGAGAAAATCAGCTGCAAGATGTAGGTACAGTCATCAAAATGTTAAGCATTCACTTAATTGATCCTGTTTTTTCTCCTTCCTGAATTAATAGTTGATACTATAAATACAGACGTCTCTTACTAGTTTTTGAAGCAGGAGTTAAAGAACCTGTGTGCTTTTATTAGCAATATTTCTACTGCTACATTGGAATGTATAACTTTTTTGTTTGTTTTGTTTTGTTTTGTTTTGTTTTTTGAGACAGGGTTTCTCTGTGTAGCCCTGGATGTCCTGGAACTCACTCTGTAGACCACACTGACCTCAAACTCGAGATCCACCTGCCTCTGCCTCCTGAATGCTGGGATTAAAGACGTGCACCACCACTGCCAGGCAGAATATATAATTCTTACAATTTTCTCTTAGAAATTGTATGCTTTTATAATACAGCATGAATTAAATTATAAAAACATTTGAAATCATTATTTCTGTTACCTTTGAAAATATTAAAATTATAAATTTATTTTAGACATTAACAGTTTCTTGGAAGGGTTCCCTTGCCCCTTGGCTTGAATCGTTAAGTGGTGGAACTAAAGAGATTTGGGGCTGGAAGAGGGGTCCGAGTGACAGGTGCCAAGTGGAGTCTGTCTGCCTGCTGCCGTGCTCCCTCGTGAACTCTGAGTGCTTGCTCAGCAGCCAGGCGCCACCCGGGGGACTTTGATATTTGCAGCTATTATCAGAGTTCTAAGCTAAAAATAAACCTACTAAGTAAACACATGGTGGACACACATGTTTAGCTTTGACTAAACAAATACCTCTGTATTTTAAGATAAATTAATCAGATAGTAAGTTAGGAGATATAACATTGAAATCTAATATTGTTTGGAGATAAATTCTTTTTTTTTTTTCCCCCGTCTCCAAAAGGTTCAGATTTTACTGAAGCTGTGGAGCAATGGTTTCAGTTTAGATGATGGAGAATTGAGACCTTACAGTGACCCAACAAACGCTCAGTTTTTGGAATCTGTTAAGAGAGGGTAAGATGAATTATTCTTATTCTCCTTATTATGTGGAATGGAACTGTTTTGAGTATGTGTATGCATGTTCCTGTGACTGCATATGTATGTATGCACATGGATGTGGAGGTCGTAGGTCAGTCTCAGTGGTGTTCTCTCCCTTGCCTAGAGCTCCCCAGGGAGCTCAGGTGGCATGCTTGTGTGGCAGTTATCTGACCAAGTAGCTCCTCTTCCCAGGCCCTGTTTCTTTTTTTACTGTTCTGTATACACTGCTAGTTTTCAAGAATTAGTTATTGTGACGTATTACATAAGTGACTTTGGGGAGATGGATCTTTGTAGAGAAAGGACATTTTAAATATGATGACACTATGGGCTTTGCTCCAAGAAGAAATGCCTTACTGAATTGAATAGCATCTATCTATCTATCCATTCAGTCTCTGTCCCGCTTACTGTTGGCAAGGTGCCATGACAAAGCACCAAGACCAAGGCAACTTATAAAAGAAAGCATTTAATGGTGGTATACAGTCTCGGGGTGAGTCCGTGATCATGAGGACTGAAAGCAGGGCTGTGGGCAGGCCTGCGTAGCCCTCAAACATGGCTGTGGGCAGGCCTGCGTAGCCCTCAAACATGGCTGTGGGCAGGCCTGCGTAGCCCTCAAACAGTAGCTGAGAACTTAACATCCGATCCATAGCCGTGCGGCAGAGAGCCTGCTGGGAATGGCGTGAGCTTTAAACCTCTGAGCCCATCTCCAGTGACACATCTCCTCCAAAGCCACACACTCTGATCCTCCCCAAAAGTCCTACCAACTAGGGACCGAGTTTTCAAATGTGAGTCCTTCCGGCTTTGTTGACAGCAGCATACGTCTCTCTCGTGGGCGCATTCCTCTCTTTCTGCAGCTCTCTTTGGCTAATATCCCACACCATATCATCAAGAACAGTAATGAGCAAAGTCTCCTTTCTGAGAATATCTGTTAGAGGTTCTGACTAACTGAGATCCATTAGCTCTTTCTTGAAAGATTTAGTAACACTATCTTTGTTGTCCTATAGGAACAACTGTTTGGTATATTTTACCTTATGTATACTAAATACAGGAAAGTAATTTTTATAAGTAAAAAATGCCTATCAGTGATATTTACATTATTTCTTTAATATAAGTTTATATTTCAAATTATATATGCCTAATTCGTACACTTTCTATGTAAATGTAACATATAAAATTACTATAGATGAAGTGTGTGGCATTGTCAGCCTAATTACTATAAATCACATTTCATTCAAGGACTTAATATGGGAGGTACATTCTTGGAAATGCAAGGGATCTTCAGAAATAAAATATAAAATCCTCCAAAAATGCTTAGTTGATTTTTGGTTACTTGTATGCTAGAAGTAGGCCAAGACATCATGAAAAAGAGAGTTGTTCCCCATGTCAGTCTCTGCACGCTCAGATTCTGTGTTAACTGTGATGTTGTCCTCAGGGTAGACCAGTCTTCTGTAGCCATGCAGTCCACAGTCTCTCCCTTGACACTGAAGCACCTGCTGCTCTCGTTACCTGATAACAAGAGATACCTTTATCAGTGTCTGACTGCCTCCAGTATGGAGTTCAAAGCAAATGGTTGTAGCCAGGGATGGTGATTCTGTGTATCCATGGCAAGTCCTTGTGTAGATAAAGACCTCTTTACAGTGCAGAGATATGAAAAATGAAGACCCTTCCTCACTGTTGGTGGAAATGTAAACCTGTATGGCCGCCAAGGAAATCTCTATGGAGGGTTCTCCAAAAACAGAAGTCTGCCTACCATTTGACACATAGGATTCCTGAATAATTTCCTAAAGAATTCTAAAGCAACATACCATGGAGTTACTTACATCTGTGTGTATAAAGCACTGTTCACAATAGCTCAGGGACTGAACCAGCCTAGGTATTCATCAACTGATGAATGGATTAAGAAAAACGCAAAGATACATAATACATTTCCATGAATTGGAAATAATATTAGACAATACCAGCCAGGCTCAAATACCATGTGTTTTCTCTAATATGCATCATCTAGTTTAATATATGCATAGATATATAAATGCATGTATCTATATATGAGTACATAGATCATGAATAGAAAGGGAATCATGAGAAGGAAAGAAGAGATCATAAAGTAGATAAAGAAGAGATTAATCAGTGCATGTGGGAAGGAAGTATAAGGGAGACAGCCTGTTTTCAGTAAAGAAGTGAAGGGCATAGAACAACAGTAAAAACAAAATACAGTGGTGTGTGTATGCAGATGCCATAATGAAATCTGTTACTTTCTGTACTAACCTAAAGCATTTATTTATTTATTTATTTATTTATTTATTTATTTATTTATTTATTATTCTCTTACATATTACACCCAAACCACAATTTTTCCTCCCTTTCCTTTCCCCCAGTCTCCTCTCCTCATCCCCCCTCTGCCCCAAATCCACATCCCCACAATCTCTCCTTAGAAAATAGCAGGCCTCCATGGGACATCAACCAAACATGGCATAATATGCTACAATAAGACCAGGCACTTACCATAGCATCAAGACTGGGCAAGGCAACCCAGTAGGAGGAAAAGGGGCCCAAGAAAAGGGAAAACAGTCAGCTTCCGCTCCTGTTCCCCCTGTTAGGAGTCTCACAAGGATACCAAGCTACTCAGCCATAGCACATATGCAGGGGACCTAGACCAGACCCCTACAGGCTCCCTGATCTCAGTGAGACACCATGAGTACTGGCCATACTGGCACTTGATTCTGTGGGCCATGTTCTTTTGATGTCCCTGACCCTTCTGGTTTCTTCTATCCTTCCCCTCCTCCAAAGGACTCCCCAAACTATGCCTAATTTTGGCTGTGGGTCTTTGCATCTGCCTCCATTTGGTTGCTGGGTGATGCCTCTCTGGTTTGTTTGATGACAGGCAGGACAAGCTCTAGGCTAGAAGTTTGGTGGCTGGGTTTGTGCCCCAATCCCTCCACTTGAGGCCTTACTTGGTTACAGAAGATGGCCAGTTCAAGCTCCAAGTCCTCCATTACTAGGAGTCGTTGCTAGGGTTACTCTCGTAGATTGCATGGAATTTCCATTTCACTAGGTTTCCACCTTATTCCCAAAATGTTCCCTAATTCCAGTCATTTCTCCTAGTATTCCCCACCCCTGGTAATCACTCCTGTTCCAACTCCCACCTGTCCCCCATCTACCAGCAAAATCTATTTCCCCTTTCCAGGGAGATCCTTATATCCCCTCTTGAGCCCTCCTTGTTACTTAGACTCTCTGGGTCTCTGGATTGTAGCATCGTTATCTTTTATTTTACAGCCAGTGTACACTTATAAGTGAGTACATACCATGCTTATCTTTCTGTTTTATCAGGATGGAACTTGGAAGAGATGAGTAATACTCCATTGTATATAAATGTACCACAGCCTCTTTCTTCATTCTTTGGATGGAGGCATCTAGGTAGTTTCTAGTTTTTGGCTTTTTATAAACAAAGCTGCTGTGAACACAGTTGAACAAGTGTCCTTGAGGTAGAATAGATCATCCCTTGGGTACATGCCCAGGAGTGGTATGACTGGGTCTTGAGGTGGATCGGTTCCCAATTTTCTGAGAAACCATTATAGTGATTTCCAAAGAGGCTGTACAAGTTTGCACTCTACTTGTGCAGCAGTGGGGGAGTTCGCATCTTGCTCCAGATCCTCGACAGCATGAGCTGTTTCTTGTGTTTTTTATCTTAGCCATCTAATAGATATAAGATAATCTCAAAATCATTTTGATTCGCATTTTCCTGATGGCTAAGGATGTTGAACATTTCTTTGTTTCTTGGCCATTTGAGTTTCCTCTGTTGAGACTTCTCTGTTTAGATCTTTTAATTGGATTATTTAGTTTCTTGAGTGTTTGGATGAGCTCTGCCTCACCAGCCCCCAACTCAAGTCCCTCATCCCACCCCTACTCCGGTTCTAATCTTTGCCCAGTCTCAGAAAGCCCTCAAAACAGCAGCTCCTCTGGAACCATGCATGCAGGGTATTTAAAGGACCTCCTAAGGAGAGACCATGTAGTTCTCCAGTTCCATGCAGTTCCCCTTCTCTCTTGGGGCCAGGAGACCATTCAGGAGCATTTTATTTTTTTTACTTGTACTTTTAATTATTAATCCGGCTTGGTTTGATCGGCAGAGAGGCTTAATATGAGGGTACAGAACCTTTCATTGAGTTCTTTTTATATTTTGGATATTAGCCCTCTGTCAGATATGGGGCTTGAAGATCTTTTCCCATTCTGTGGGCTGCCTTTTTTTTTTTTTTCCTATTGACAGTGTCTTTTGCCTTACCGAAGTTTTTCAGTTTCAGGAGATCCCACTTATCAATTATTGATCTTAGCGCCTGTCCTGTTTCTGCTCTGCTCAGAGTCTCTTGTGCCAGTGCATTCAAGGCTAATCCCCATTTTCTCTTCTTTCAGGTTCAGTGTATCTGGATTTAAATGAGGTCTTTGATCCACTTGGACTAGAGTTTTATGCAGGGTGATAGATGTGGACTGTTTGCATTTTTTACACACCAATATTCAGTTAGACTAGCACCATTTGTTGAAGATGCCATCTTTTTTTCCATTGTATATTTCTGTCTTTATCAAAAATCAGATGTGCATAGGTATGTGGATGCCGCGGACCGTCCCTCTCGGAGACCACTATCCACGGGAGACCAGGGTGAAGGATAGGATAGTCAGGATACGATGCAAGGGAAATGACAGACAGACACACTGTGTAGTGAAAATCTGCTGCAACTTTACTTCTGCAAAGCTTCAGTTTTTGTACAAAACAGATCAAAGAACTTGGCAGGTGCATTACATAACCCCACTCAGGGTTCCAGACATAAATCAAGATTAAGCATAACCAAAATAGAGCTTCTTCTACGTGCTCCTTTCTACGTGTTCCCCCTTCCGTGCTCAAGATGTTGGCAAGGACTTTTAGTTTTGTTTTGTCTCTTAGAACTCTGTCTCACACCATTATTTACATTCTACCGTGGGAGACTAGTTCTCAGGGTCCTGTGTTTAGCTTTCCATCTATATAGTTTTTATTCTTTGCTCCATATCCCCTAATAGTTTTCTCATTTTCTCATGATAGTTCCTATACCAATATATTAAAACTCAATAATTTCCTTTCTTTCCTTCTTACTATAAAGACACCAGGGCTTCTGGGATCTAGCTAATCTTTCCATAAAGGGGAATTTTCTCTAACTCTCCTTTTCTCTCTAAATCTGATTCACTATGACGATTCCCTCATAACATATCAACTTTAGCCGTTTCTGTTTCATAAATAATAAAGTTTCCCAGGCTCATGTGGCATGGGGCATACTTCAGTTCCTCAAGGACTGCTTTAATGAACGGTGGAGCCGAGCCAAGGACGTACTTTGATTTCTTGGTAAGCGGTCAGCTATAAACAAGAAAATTAAGAAATACAGAGAAAGATCAGGCAAGGTGTCAGGAGGGCTCGCTCTCAGGGCCATCTCCAGATATGAGATCTGCCTAGGGCATCAGGTCCTCTCTGGACTGCTGATTGCCAGGGGGACCACCTGGGGCTTCGCTCCAAGAAGCTCTAACCCCAATCCTTCAGCAGGCAAAAGCCAGCGCAGAGGCATTTTGTCACTACACGGCAGTCACTGCTGTGGACGTGGCATGTGGATTTATATCTGGACCTTTCATTCAGTTCCATTGGTCACCATGTCTGCTTTAAGCCAGACCATGTTGTTTTTATTACTACTGCTCTGTAGTACAGTTTGAAATCAGAGATGGTGATACCTTTAGAAGTTTATTTATTGTATAGGATAGCTTTAGCTATCCTGTTTTTCCCCCTTATGAAACTGAGTATTGTTCTTTCAAGGTCTATAAAGAATTGTGTTGGGATTTTAATGGGGATTGCATTGAATATGTAGATTGCTTTTTGCAGTGTTAATCCTACCAATCCATGAGCATGGGAGATCTTTTCATCTTCTGATATCTTCTTCAACTTCTTTCTTTAAAGACTTGAGGTTTTTTTGAAAGACGGGTCTTTCACTGGCTTGGTTAGAGTTACCCCAAGATACTTTATGTTATTTGTGACTATTGTGAAGGGTGTTGTTTCCCTGATTTCCTTCTCAGTCCATTTGACATTTGTATATCAGAGGGCTACTCATTTTATTTTTTAAGATAATCTTGTATCCAGTCACTTCACTAAAGTGTTGATCAGCTGTAGGAGTTCCTTGATAGAAAATTTGGGGTAGAATTGATATGTACTATCATAACATCTGTGAGTAATGATACTCTGACTTCTTCTTTTCCAGTTTGCATCCCTGCAATCTCCTTTAGTTGTCTTATTGCTCTAGCTAAAACTTTAAGTACTGTATTGAACAGATGTTGAGAAAGTGAACAACCTTGTCTTGTCCTTTTGTTTCTATTTTATTGATTTCAGCCCTGAGTTTATTTCATGCAGTCTACTCTTTGGTGTTTCTGCTTGTTTTTGTTCTAGAGCTTTCAGGTGTGCTGTTAAGTTGCTAGTATGAGATCTCTGCAGTTTCTTTATGTAGGCTCTTAGTACTATGTGCTGTCCTCTTAGCACTGTTTTCACTGTGTCCATAAGTTTGGGTTTGTTATGATTCATTTTCATTGAATTCTAGGAAGTCTTTCATTTCTTTCTTTATTTCTGCCTTGACACGATAGTTATTCATAAGGAGCTGTTCAGTTTCCTTGCGATTGTAGGCTTTCTGTTGTTTCTGTTGCTGTTGATATCCAGCTTTAATCCCTGGTGCTCTGATTGAGTACAGGGTGTTATTTCAATTTTCTTGTATCCTTTGAGACTTGCTTTGTGACAGAGTATGTGGCACATTTTGGAGAATGTTCTGTGAGGTGCTGAGAAGGTATATTCTTTTGTGTTTGGGTGAAATGTTCTCTAGATATCTGTTTGGTCCATTTGAGTCATAATGTCATTATTTCTCTGTTTAGTTTTCCATCTGGATGTCCTATCCTTTTGTGAGAGTGGGATATTGAAGTCTCCTATGATTAATGTGTGATGTTGAATGTGTGATTTAAGTTTTAATAACGTTTCTTTTACAAATATAGGTGCCCTTTTGTTTGGGACATAGATATAAAGAATTGAAGCATCTTCTTGGGGGATACTTTGATAAGTATGAAATATCCCTCTCCATCTCTTTTGATTAACTCTAATTTCGAATTTATTTTATTAGATATTAGGATAGCTACACCATCTTGCTTCCTTGGTCCATTTGTTTGGAAAATCTTTTATTCCAACCCCTTGCTCTGAGATAATGTCTGTCTTTGAGTCAACGTGTGTTTCTTGTATGCAGCAGCAGGATGGATCCTGTTTCCATATCCATTCTGTTAGCTTGTGTCTTTTATTGGGATATTGAGTCCATTGATATTGAGAGATATTAATGTCCAATGATTGTTAATTTATGTTATTTTATTGTTGTTGGTGGTGGTAGTAGTGGTAATAGTAGTAGTAGTTGTGTGTTTCCCTGTTTTGGGGGTTTGCTGATGTAAGATTATTGCCTGTGTTTTTGTGGTTGTTGTTAATTTCATTGAGTTGGAGTTTTCCTTCTAGTACCTTCTGTAGGGATGGATTTGTGGTTAGGTATTGTTTAAATTTGGCTTTGTCATGAAATATTTTGGTTTATCTATGGTGATTGAAAGTTTTGCTGGATATTGTAGTCTGGGTTGCCATTCCTGGTCTCTTAGAGTCTGCAAGGCATCAATCAATTCAGGCTTTTCTGGCTTTCAGAATCTCCATTGAGAAATCAGGTGTAATTCCAATAGGCCTGCCTTCATATGTTACTTGGTCTTTTTCCTTTGCAGCTTTTAATATTCTTTCTTTATTCTGCATATTTAGTGTTTTGATTTTTATGTGGCGTTGGGACTTTTTTCTGGTCCAAATTATTTTGTGTTCTTTAAGCTTCTTGTACTTTTATAAGCATGTCCTTCCTTAGGTTAGAAAAATTTTCTTCTATGATCTTGTTAAATATATCTTCTGGGTTTTCAAGCTGGGATTCTTTTTTTTTTTTCTATTTCTATTATTTTGGATTTGGTCTTTTCAGATTGTCCCAGATTTCCTGGATGTTTGGTGTTAGTATTTTAGATATAACATTTTCTTTGACTGATGAATCTATTTTTTTCTACCATATCTTCTGCCCCTGAGCTTCTCTTGTATTCTCTTAGTTATGCTTGTGTTTGTAGTTCCTGTTCATTCACCCAGCTTTTCCATTTCCAGAATTCCCTTCATTTGTGTTATATTGCTTTCATTCCCGTTTTCAGGTCTTGAATAGTTTCCTTTACCTTTTGGGTTTTTTTTTTTTTTGCATTCTTGACATTCTTTAAGGGATTTATTGATTTTCTTCAATTTTTTGTTGTCTTTCCCTTTTATTTCTCTAAGGGATGTTTTTAATTTCCTTTTAAGGACCTCTATCATCTTCATAAATTTGTTTTTAAAGTCATTTTGGATAGCTGCGCTCTGATGGTGCCCTGTTGCCCGGGCTATTTAGGCATCTGGGTTTGGGGTAATTACAGGTCTAGGTGCTGATTTCCACATTTGTCTGTGTCAGATGGGTGTTTTTTTCCCTGGCTTCTGCTTTTGCTTTGAATTTTTTGTCATTGTGACCTGGATTTCTTGTGGCTGGTATAACCTCTGATCTTGTAGGGAGTCTATCTAAGTTGGGGACAGGCCTTCTGGTGGCTAGCTTGGCTTTTGTTGCAGCAGGGGGTCTCTGTTCTGACTGGTGTGTCCTGTTGCCTGAGCAGAAGTCTGCTGGGGTTGGGCCTGGAAGAGGAGCAGGCGATGAGCTGGGCAGGCATGGGCTGTGGGTTGGCTCTTTGGGAACAGAATCTAGGAAGTGGGGCAGTTTAGCTGGCAGGCGGGTCACCCACCTGGTTTTGTTGTTGTTGTTTGTTTGTTTTTGTTCTTGTTTGTTTGTTGTGTGTGTGTGACCTAAAACAATTTTTAATTTAAAAAAAGGAAAAAGGCTGACTTCACCATGCTGTGTCTCACAGTCCCTGCCTCTCATTCTAAACATGGCAATGCTCACCAGTTACCTGATACTCAGAAATACCTCAACATCAGTTTCCACAACTTCCCCCAGGGACATTAAAATAAATATGTACAGACTCCCAGTACTTGAGAGTCTAAAACAGGAAAATTGCTGTGAGCTTGCAGCTAGTCTGATGTATATACAGAATTCCAGGCTAGCCTGAGCCACGGTTCAAGACCCTATTTCAAAGAAACAACCAAAAATATTTAAAAATATTTAAGTTAACTTTTAAGCTATATAAGAATTTTCTTCTGCTAATTTAACTATCAATTGCTGTCTTATAATCTGCCTTTCTAAATGTACTCCAAGATTGTTGTGATACCCAAAACATTTCTATCTAGGAGTCACTAAAGAGCAGCGTGACCAGCTAGAAGAGATGGCTCCGCACTGGGTGCTTTCCCAGGGGACCAGCATCCACAGCCATCTGAAACTCCAGTCCTGGGGCCTCATCCTCCAGGGGCACCAGGCATGTACATGGTACATGTACATACAGAGAGACAAAACACTCATACGTTTAAAGTAGAAAAGTTTTCAAAGTGTCAGATAACCTGAAGAAAGAATAACTATGTGGCCCTCAATCACCATGGAGATTTTTGTTAGCATGTAGCTCATGATTTAATGCAGTCATCTCAGTGGAGTAGTGAGTGTGTTTTTTAAACAATCTTAACTAAAACTTTCTCTCCCTCCTTTTAAGAGAGATTCCCCTGGAGCTTCAGAGACTGGTCCATGGCAGCCAAGTGAATCTGGATATGGAGGATCATCAAGACCAAGAGTACATAAAACCCAGATTGCGCTTCAAGGCTTTTAGTGGAGAAGGACAAAAACTTGGAAGGTAAAATTCCTCTAGTGAGAAAAATACTTTTTTGCTCAAAATGACATTTCGTTGAAATTAAGAAATCAAAATGACTTATGAAGTAAAAATTGAAATACAAGCTATAAAGACCTTCCTGCTGGAATTAGGTGTGCAGCTTGGCTAATAATGTTAGTAGCAAGTACCCAGAGACCAGTCCTCCTTACACTCATGCGCTCATCCGATACACGCACTGCTCTTGCAGAGGATCCGAGTTTGGTTCCTCACACCCATCCATGCAGCCTGCAACTACCTGTAAAAGTCCAGCTCTAGGTACCCATTGGCACCTGCACATATGCCCACATTGCCACATAGACAAACATGTATAGAATTAGTAATGAAAATAAATCTATTTTTAAAAGCAGCCCTTTAACATATGGATACTTATTACTCTATTTTAAAATAACAGTAATTTGGCCAAGGTATGCTTGAGCTAGAGAATGACTAGAACCAAGTTCCAACCCAAGCGCTCAGGGTGCATACTTTTCCCTACTGTGCCATGTTCTCCTTTTGCGTTTTGGCCACTTTCATGTAAGTCTACAGTGCTTTGAGCATATCCCCTTCACACACTGCCCTCCTCCCTCTCCTACGAGCCCCTCTTGTCCGGATTAGGTTCTAGGCGTTTTCTGTTCTTTGTGGCTGTGTTCCTTCATTTCTGCTTCCAGTCACACAGCTTCAAAAGAGAACCTGGCAGGTGTTGCTGACTGGAGAAAGCAGTGACCATATCCCCCCAACTTTAGTGGTGTGTCTGCCATGAATAAACTCTGAGATGCTGCAGCAGGAGAGTGTGCCTCAGTTCTCTGTGCTTTGGAAGCAGCCCTTGGGTTCCGGCTCCAGCGCCACAAACCACACCTCTAATCCTAGCACTAAGGAGATAGAGGGTCATCCTCCGCCTTCTACCCAGTCTGCAGCCAGTCTCAGGCATATACTAACTCTGTTGCTAGCCTGGTCTATGAGAGGTTGACCTTTCCTCGAAGTGGAAATAGGAAATTGTTCAGTTTTAATATACAGAAAATTACCACTAGTGTGTTAATATGACGTGACTCAGTGTACATAAACTCATATTTAATCAAATAATACATTTCTAAAGTAAAAAATTGCACATAACATTTTACACTGGACATTTACATCAAGAACTATATTAAGATTTGATCCCTGGCACCAAAACTTAATAAAAAAGGAAAGAAAGAAAATTGAAACTAAAAAACTATTAAGACAGCAGCTTAATAGTTCTCATTTCCTAAGATCTCCAGCCAGCTACTGAAGTACAAAAAGGGAAATAATCCAGTTTTGTCCACTGGCAGTAGTCTAATTACAAAGAGCGTACAGGCAGAAGTTGGCCAAGTTTTCTTGTGATATACAAGTAGATAGAAATACGGAAGTCATGGGTGACAGCTGTATGTTTACAAATGGTAGCATACCCTGAGTTGAGCAGGAGTTGAGCCGATAGTCTTCTGCTGTCAGGGGGAACCAGACTTGACCCTGGCCGAGGGTTTTCAGCTGTATGATGATAAATGATGCAGCTGGAATAGATAATCTTTGTGTTCGCCTGCATGCTGCCGAGTGGAGATTCTGTGTGCCACTCGGTCATGCGGCACTGAATCTGAGGTCGGTTCGAGTTGGTCCCTAGTCCTCAGGGATGCTCCTGTCTGATGCGCAGCAGCCCCTCTGCCCTGCCTTCTCTTTCCTGCTAGTCCTGCCGCTCATTCAGCCCTCATCTTGCCTCAGCCTCTGGATCTTCTCTCTTGAGCAGCCCGGCGGTGCTAGGCCCCCTAGATCCCATGGGGCTGATCCCAGGCGCTCCCTGCTCCCTTCCCTCAGCCCCTCGTCTATTCCCGCATCGCATGCTTAAGCACATTTCCTTGCTTGACTCAGAGAGTTTCTCAGGCCGATGGTGATGGTTTTCGTGATACTTTCAGATTCCTGGTTCGTTCTTGTGAGTTTCCAACTATCTAAGAAAAGCTCAGCTCAGATCCTTTCTTCTTGCTTTCTTAAAAGTCTTTTTGTATCTCTTAATTTCTCTCTTTAAAAAGTTTTTAATTAACCTTAAAATATAAAGGGTCTATGAAAATGTAGCTGGCTGCAGAGATGACTCAGTGGTTGGGAGTTCATGCTGCTCCTACAGAGGACCTGGTTCGGTTCCCAGTACCCATTTGGGGCAGAGTCCAGCCATCTCTAACTCCAGATTCAAAGGACATGATGCCTTCCCTGGCCTCCACAGGCACAAGGCATGCTCATTATGCGTGTATATATAAATGTAGGCAAAACACTGTACACAGAAAAATCTTATTTAAAAACTCATTGTAGTGTGATGGTCGACTCACGGGGAGCTTTGCTGTGCACTGATGTTGTCCCAGCAATCGTGAGACCATAGCAGCAGGATCAGTCCTAGGCCAATCTGAGCTACAGAGTGAGACACTGCCTTCAAAGAAGGGAGAGTGACTTTGAAAGTGAACACTGAATGTAGCAATAAAACCCCAGTGTCTGTTCACCAGTAACAAACTTGGCATGGGACGGTGTTCTGGTCGACCTCTGACTCGGCTTTTCCATTGATATCGCTGCCACACCTACTCCATCCATTCCAGTTTGTCAATAACTCATTTCCGCACACCTGCTTCTTACAAGGAGACACATTCAGGTGCTCTCTACTGAGGCTCCCTTCCCGCTGTATACTAACTTTCTATTTCAGAAGAAGCTTGTCTGCCTGCTCAGAATTTTCCCTAGAAGATACTAGATGACAGAAAGACCATTATGCAGCAGCTTTCTCCTTTCTCAGTAGGTCCCTTCAAGTAGTGTAGCAACCTAACTTGAAGAACCCTTGTACCTGATGGGGTTAATCTGTACAACAGAGTGGTATTCTCTCACCAAACAAGGATGCAGGCCAGTGGGGATGGCTGACTCAGGGTCACGGGGCAGGTGGGTGAGGTGAGTGTGCCGTGCTATATGGATCATGTCTATGCATGGCCACTGGTGAGGAGAAAGGACATCTGGGTAATGAATTTATTTCTCACTAATAGCTTTGAGCTATTTCTCTTTTACAAAGCAGTATCCACTTAAGTCAGATGTTTTTAAAATTGCTTTAACAGTGTTTTAAAGTATCAGTTCAGTTCTGATTATGTAAGCAGAATTAACTTTTGAGTTCTTTGTCCCAGGCATCATCCTGAAGGACTTCATGGGATAGTAAATGCATTAAGAATACAGTCTTACAGAATTATACTAGGTTGATGTTCTTCCTCCAGTGTAGCTAGCTAGAACATAGTCGGGATTTGAAGTCTATTTTCTTTATACTCTTGGGCATGCTGACATTAAGTCTCTGGTTTCTCATTTCTCCCTGAACTGTGTGCTAAACAGTGTAAGGAAAGTTCAGAGATGGAGTTGTAGAAAGTGCAGCTAGGCTTCTGAGTTATCTGGGATTAAGTAGAATTAAAGAGGCCAAAAGAAGTAGAGAAAACTGGAAGGAAGCTGTGGTCTTGCTGGGGAAGTCCTCAGAGGAGTCGTGGTACAAGTGACTGCAGAGCTGAGGCTCAGCCACCTTCAGTGTGTCCTGTGTCCTGTGTCCTGAGTATGTGTTCTGATTCTTACATTCTTCTTTCTTAGCCTTACACCAGAAATTGTCAGTACTCCTTCTTCTCCAGAAGAAGAGGACAAATCAATACTTAATGCAGCTGTTCTTATTGATGATTCTGTGCCCACCACAAAAGTTCAGATTAGGTTGGCAGATGGAAGTCGTCTGATCCAGAGATTCAACAGCACCCACCGGTGAGCTGCTCCCCAGCCAGGGTCTTCTGTTCATCTACTGTTGCTCATCACAGAAAACTGCCCATGCTGTTTGCGTTTTTACAGTAAGCTTTTGACAGAAGAATAGTTAAAAGGATGGTGACGACCTATACACTAGATGAAATTGATGGTAATATTCATGGTAAATTATCCTATTAGTCCAAGTTTAGACAACTCCAAATATATTAGCTGTAGTTTTGCATTGTGACTAAAACTGCATCAAGTGGACTCAGACTCAAGATAGTAAGAATCTATTGGGACTTTTTCAGTTAACATATTAGTCATTATAACCTAGGATGGTGGTACACACCTGTTTCCATTGTTTGGAAGCTCAAAGCAAGTACAAGTTTGAAGTAAATCTGAGCTACATAATAAGGTATATCTCAAACAAACAATAAGTTTATGATATTCTAATCAGAACTTTTTGTTTAGCAACTTCATCTTGCATGGTGTAAGTCATTTGTGCTGTTGGTACAGTATTCTCTAATAGGCTGTCTCATTCTCTTTAATGCTCACTTGAATATATTTTCCTTGCACATAATAGTGCTTTCACTGTTCACTGGTTATAAGACCCTGATGTGCACTTGTAATGCCTGCGTTACTCTCTGCGGTACAGTTGGCGCTACTATACCATGCGAGCCAGGCAAGGGCCTGGAGATTAAAGGAACATACAAGAGACATGGGTCATTCGTGAGGAGAGAATGCCAAATGCCGCCTATTCAAGCTTAGAAAATACCTTATATACCTAGCTGCTGCACAATGGAAATCCCCCCAAGACAGGTGGGAAATTATCAGGCTCGAAAGTAAACAAAACCCCTAAGCTATGTGTGGGCAGAGGTAGCACAGGAACAAACAGTATGTTTAGCCGGAAACTGCAACAAGAAGTTTGGCCAGAAACTACAAGCGATCCTCAGTATGAACCCTTGGAGGAGGTGTAGACCTGTGGGCCCTACATGCACTTATTATGGTCTTAGTTACGTTACTAAGTATATGTGAGAATAATTTTTAAATTCTTTGTTACTATTTTTAATGATATGATTTTACTGTGTGACTATGTAGCTTAGGGTAGCCTCAGTTAATGATATTGACTTAGCCATACAAGAAATGGAATTACAGGCTTGTACCAACACACCTAACTTTTATATGTATGAATGTGCACGTGTGTGTGTATGTATGTGTGTGTCTTTCATAGTGTTAGGCTTATCCTGCTCACTGTCCACACAGATGGCTTAGAGGCCTAGGCTACCAACGGTTGTTATTTTGAAAACAATCAGACTTGATTTCAATATAACAATATTGTTAATCCTTATTTTATACATAATTCACTTAAAGATTGTTTTTGTTTTATTACAAATGTATACTCCAAAATTATTATTTTTCTTTCATAACCTGATGAACTTTCCCATCAAAATAATTAAAGTTATAGCACCTTTAAACAAAAGTTGGAATTATTTAATTTTTGTGAGGATGATTTTAGCTAAAAGTTTACATGGAAATATGCCCTTGCTACAATGAACGTTTTACTTATTTTTTCAGGGTCCTGGATGTCCGAGACTTCATAATACAGTCCCGTCCTGAGTTTGCAACAACAGACTTTATTCTTGTGACTTCATTTCCGAGTAAAGAGCTAACAGATGAAAGTCAGACACTACAAGAAGCAGATATTCTTAATACTGTGATACTCCAACAGCTTAAATAGTATTGTTCCAACCCATGTAGGAATAGGTAATGTTGTACATACTGGTAAAATACTTCCAGCATAAAAACAACCAAATTATTTTTATTATTCAGATAAATCCTGTTTTTGCTGTTGATCTATCTTCCAGTATTTGTCTCGATAAATTTAAACCACGGATAGATCTTTGAATTTTTGAATGTTTGAACTTTTAGTTGCAGGTCAGGCTTTTAGTGATTGATAGCTATAAACATCTAGGTCAGCAATTTATTATGTGCTCAGTGTTATATGTTTTCATATGTAATAATGTTTTCAGAAGTGGAAAGAACATCTTTTGGTAAATCCATTTGGTAAAATTTGCACTCAAATTTTTTAATGCAGCAATGACCAGTAACCAGTAAGGATCCCTTTTCTGTGATATATACCAGTGTCTGCTCTGAGTTTGAAATTGTTTGATCATAAAGTAATTAAGATTTTGCATATTGTTAATTTTTACATGTCGTTTGAACTATGTTAGTATCACAGAGTATATTTTGCCCTTGTATTTTATAAAATTACAACTAAGTCTTAGTAGCTGTAAAGGTCATCCGCTCCACTCTTGAGAATATGGGATAAACAGAACTTTAAAGTCAAGGCATTGCAGTCCCATCCTTCCTGCCTTGATCACATTCATTTTCTTCCAGCATTTTAACAGGGATCTGTTAAACTAGAAACATTATTGTTGGTGTGTAACACAGAATGTGTTCTTCAGCATGTGAACTCAGTCTGAGAGGCTGGAGCAAAAACTGCCAGCAAGATGGTAGTGTTTCCCTTGTCCAGGCACGTCTTGAGTAATGCGGGCAGTATTGAACAGCGGGAAAGCTTGCTTCCCTGCAGACACCATTCCATCCTTAGTACCGTGGCTGTGTACTATTTGGTTGCTGATGTAAGAAAATACAGAGCTTGTGACTGAAGTAGCAGAGATTTATTATCTTAAAAGTATGTAATCGGATATTGAAGACGAGTTTCTCTACGCTAGAATTAAGGTGTCAGTGGGACTGCATGGAGACTCCAGAGAATCATTGGCTGCTGAGCCTCCAGAGGCCGCCTGTGTTCCTTACCGTGGTGCTCAAACTCCTCTGGCTGCCAGCCCTTCCACCTCCCTGAGCCTTCTGTAACTACAGTGTGCTCTGCTTTCGAGGACGTAAAGACAAGACAGGATGCACAGGTGAACCCACGCTCATTGCCTAGCGTTAGCTTTATAGTGACCTTAATCATCCTTCAGGGTTGCTCTTTTCCACTTTAGTTACACCTTTTTGGGAGTGGGGGAGTTGATATAGTTGCTTACCACGGCCCACATTGTCTCAGAGATTCGCCTACCAAATATACTCACCCCATTCATCCACAGGTGCTCAGAAATTGCAGCGTATCACTTCGACTCACTCACCTGCATTTCATTGGTTTCAAAAGTCCCAAATCTTGTTAAGATGACCTAAATTAAGTGGAGATTCATCTCTTCATCTCTGCCTATGACACTAAAAATGAACTATGTCTTCACAGATAAATGTCAGGACAGCTATAGAATAAGCTATAAACATTGATGTGTAAAAGGCAGGCAACAGTGAAAAGCAGAGCCACTGTTACCGAGAAATCCGCAAATCAGCCAGACCTTCCATCAATGTCTAAGGCCCACCATTAACGTATGGCTCTTGTAACTTAGTCCTTTGAGTTTGGACTGTCTACATCACCTTCCTTTCGCAGAAGACACACAGCTTGTTTTTTCTTCTCATAATGTGCTGTGTGCTTTTCATTTTACAATAGCAGTGATCTGTAAAAAAAACTCATGGATCGCCTGTGTGTCATGGAGATTGGCTCCATTAAACAGGAAGCTCTTCCAAGCATCTTTCTATAACAGAAATAATCCCATCTCTAAGTTTTAGTTCTTCAGAGAAAACAGAACTGTGTCATACCCTTTTGCGTGATTGAATATGCAGACCACTTCGTTACACGTGTGGTGTGTTGCTTGTGTACACGTTTGGATGTGTGTCTGGGAGAAGCCTGAATTGACGTTGGGAGTCTTCCTCAGTCTTTTTCTACCATATTCATTGAGGCAGATCTCACTTAAACCCAGAGCTCACCACCGCAGCGGTTGGCTAGGCTGTCTCCACCTTCCTAGTCCTGGATTGTGGGCGCCCATCCTACCCAGCCCGCATGGCAAGCACTTTAGCTACTGAGCCATCCCAGCCCTTTGTGTTATCTGAGGGTTGTGCACCCACACCCTCGTTTTTCTGCTTCAGGCTTTCCTGACGATGATGTCATTTGTAAATTACTCTTAAGAGTCTGTCATGAGGTAGGCTGAGAGCTCCATAGCCCTGGTTTCTTTCTATCTGTCACCTTTTCACACAGTGTTTCTATTTCCTATCAAACTTTACGTCACCCAGAAAGAAGCAGGCTAAAATTTTCCAGAATTCCAGCTTAGTCTCAAGCTCCTCATGTCCAGCCCTGCTTTGCCTGTGACTGTGCAACTCGGCTAAGCTTGAGTTTCCAATAGTGCTTCCTCCTGCTCTGAGCCCTCAGCAGCAGAGCCTTTAACGTCACCTTTTCTAAAGACTGCTCAGCCGTCTAGACATTCTCTGGGGACGTAGGTTTTCTCTACCAATTCTGAGCTCCTTCCAAGCCCTCTTCAGCACTAGCCTGTCTACTAACAGTCTGAATAAAGCAGGCTCAGCTCTTCTGTCACCATCCTCAAAGCCGAGGCTGTATGTAATCCAAAACTGGGATTGTTGCCACCTCCTGGTTGACTAGAATGTGTTGTAAGGGACCTAGAAGTCTCTGGTTATTGCAAGGAAGCGAGCTAGGGAGTTTTGTTTTGTTGTTGTTTGTTTTGTTTTATTTTTGAGACAGGGTCTCCCTGTATATTCCTGGCTGGTCTGGCACTCTAATGAGTGTAGACATGCTGGCCTTAAACTCACAGGAATCCACCTGCCGCTGCTTCCTGAGTGCTAGGATTAAAGGTCAGAGTGACCAGTGAAGACTTCAAGTACTGAGACTGTGGCTACAACATTTCTATGCAGAATTTTTCTCAATCACATAGAGAAAAAAGATTTTCTTTAACAATACAGGCCCAGCCCTGCCTCTTTGGCTTTGTTAAATATAATGTGGGTAACAGCTGTAATTCAAAAGATTATACCTGATAATACCTGATACCACCACTTCAGAGCTATGGAGAGACCACTGTGACCTAGGGGCCAGCCTGCGTTACCGTGTGAGACTTTCTTAAAACAAACAAAAACAGATGAACTTTCACTTGGAGCAAATCAGGGTGGGCGGGATGGGATCAGCAGACGGAGCAGGAGTGAGGAGACCTCGCGTCCAGACCCATGGAAAGCCTGGCAGGCATGGTGGCCTCCTCTAGTCTCAGCATCTCGCAGGCAGAGGTGATCTCTGCACCACAGGGCTAATTAGACTAACTGAATGGGATAGCACCAGGTTAAGGAAGAGCCCCCCTTCAATAAAGAACAGGGCAAACACTGTCAACTTCAGGCCTCTAAGCATACACATGGGCTTGCGAACTAGCATGTATGTGCGTGCGTGCGTGTGTCCCAAACACACACACACACACACACACACACACACACACGCACGCACAGACTAATAGTACCATAGTCATTGTAAATAATAGGGCATTACCTGTATTAAAACAGGAAAAAAAATGTCCAAACCTTGTAAAATAACTTGAATTTTTCTTGTAGTTTTTTTAATCAGTTGTATTTAGTACCTACAAATGCTAAAAAAAAAAAAAGACTGCCATTTTTGTGTTCTTTCTGTCCAAAAGACAGGGGTGTCTGTCAGGACAAGAAGTGAAGGCCCACGTGATGATGGCCAGTCCTTTCACAGACATCACAGGCTTTATTGAGAATCTGTTTGTACTGTAGTACAGGAACATTTTATTTATTACATTTTTTAAAAAATACCAATCCAAGTTCCTACTCCCTCCCCTCCTCCCATTTCTTCCACATACCCTCACACCCCACCCCCATCTAATTCTCAGGATAAGGCACATTGCCTTGTGGAAGGTCCAAGACCCTCCCTACTATATCTAGACTGAGCAAGGTATCCATGCAAACAGAATGGGTTCCCAAAAGGCCAATACATGCAGTAGGAATAAATCCTGGTGCTCCTGCCAGTGGCCCCTCAGTCTGCCCCAGCCATGCAGCTGACAGCCACCTTCAGCGGGACTCTTAACATTTTAAATGCATCATCAGCATAAAGCAAGGTGGCACACTGAGTGGTCAGACCACTGTCTTGGGACAGCTGTTTTAAATGAGGTTGTAATAAAAAATAGTTTGCAGTATCTGCTTACAAATAATGTTTTCATTCAAACTCATTGGATGTGTTTTTTAAAAAGGATGTGCCTTTATGTGCAGCTTGATTTCAGTGGTTTACTAGGTTGCTTTGAACTTGAGTCTTTGTTTGGCTTAATTGCCCCTTGTCTGGGGGCAGAGAAGGGCCTGAGGTAAGGCATTGCCACCTGAGTTTTCCATGGTTGTTTCTGGTTTTATTCTACTATAAGAACAAATTCAGGTACCTCCTGACTGTTTGCCCCTATGTATTTCTGAAAACATTCTCATAAAGTGTATTATATTAAGATGCATTCAGTTTTCCCTGTAAGAGTTTGTATCTGTGTTGATACATCTTTGGCCAGTAGTGCCAAAAGTTGAAGAAATTTTTATAATCTGTAAAATATTTAGTGTTTCCTTGAATTTCAATTAAAGAGTTTATAAAAGAATTGCTGCATATGTAAATGTGTGTTCACAGGTCTGTGTGCAAGTGCATGTGTGTGTGCATGCATGTGTTTATATAGCCCGGAACAATGACCATGTGACTTACACATAACGTAGCTTCGCAGTTTTCCCTCTTAAAGACCACAGGGTCGTGACGTAGAGGCCATGGGGAGCGTCCTCTTCAGACAGTTCAAACTTAATGGCCTCTTTTCCTTTAGATAAATGTTTTTCCAAGAAAGCAGGAAGACTCAGGACTCTACAGCTACCTAAAGAGTTCCTTGAATGCTGCAGTTGACTTCAGAGGGAGCTCCTAACAGGAAGGACATCAGAAAGAAAGCTAGCAGTCACCACTGATTGTGTGATAGATGACACTCCCTTTTATTGCAAGATCAAACAAATGACTAGTAATTCAGTAGGGTGGACTTAAAGACCTTGCACAGAATCAGCAACACAATCATTCTTCCTGTTGACAAGCTAAGGACTGTATGCTAATAAGCAGCACAAAAAAGAGCCAACAGGTTAAAGACTAATGCTAAAAAGAAATCTCACAGTAGCCCAGAATTGAATGTAATAAAGGGTTATTTATTTAGGGGTAGACTCACAGATCACAGTCCTCTGCTCGAGCAGGGAACAGCAACCAAATCCCAAAGCCAGAAGAGAAGGCAATGGTACATTTTACATTGGCATATATAGTATAAGAGGCCACACCCAAGTGGGCAGGTAACTTAAAGGCTACTGGCTATAGGAATTCCTACAGCACCTCCCCTTTTTGTTTAAATAAGAGTTCTAAGCCTAATACAAAATTATATACAATAAGAACAGGTATCAGTTATAAAAATAAGAATTACAACCAGCGTAAACAATATCGAGCAAGAAATGTGATGTTTCAATAATTATCCTATTCTAAGGAGTTTAAGTCTTGTATTATAAATAACTTGGCCAAGGCATGAGAGGAAAATAACTACAACTATCTAGTCTTCAACCCCATCAAAGACCTGAGAAGGGAAATATTACTTGAATAAACAGGAAGTGCAATTAAGCCACTTCCAAAATATGCAACAAATGACAGAGACAACTGGCTACCTGGGCAGTCACTCAAAGTCTCATTTACAACATTGGAGCAACCAACTTTGGCTAAGTCTAGAGTAACTGACAGACCATTTTAAGAGGTAGGAAATTTTTCAAAACTGTCTTACCCTGTCTTGGCAAGATGTGACAATCTTTTTCTTGTATCCTGCTTGTCCTGTCCAAACATCATGCATTTTGTCAGTGGCCAATGCATGGGAAGTTCTTTGCCCAAAGGCCAGTTTTGCCAAGAAGAAAACAAGCTCCAAGTGGAGTATCTTTGGTGCTCAACATTCTCTCGGGAATTGATGGATGCTGCCAGAAACAATCCTGTCTCACGTCAACAGAACCCTAAGTTACTTAAATGCCATATTCTAAAGCTCTTTGAAGTGGTTGAAGATTACTTATCTATGTAGAATACAATCTCTATGTATCTGAATAACTTGATTAGTCTAACTATAAGTATGACAAACATGGATGACTATTGATCTATAATTCTTAATACCTATATAAATTAAAGACTAAGACTTCATATTAGAATATTAAACAATCTTTGAACAGCTGTGCAGCAAATGAGGACAATGACTTCAAAATTTAAACAATGTATAAGTATCTTGATCAGAGGTAGAAATGTATATTACAATATGATAAATATATTCTAAAGTTGTATCAATATATAAAATGTCTTATGCGGAGGTAGAAAAATGCATGCAACCAATATAACAAAATAACTTTCCCAAGGTATACAAATACTGTAGATGAAAATAGGAACATACTCAATATAATTTAAGTTTGTATCGACACCAATGCAAATTGCCTATAAATAATAGCTCAGAAGTATTCAACATTATTATTATTGTGAGTAAGCTCACACTAATCTATTATCCCATCCACTTCCCCCCTTTTTTAAGAGACCCCTGAGCTTAAATAATTTCCCCCAACCCCCAACCCTATAACAATTATAATTAACCCCTAAATGATGTCCCTAACCCTGAGGACAAACTTTGTTGGGAGAGGGGATGTCATCTTCTAGAATTACTTCCAGCTGTCATGGGGTGATGTTCTTTCTATGGGATCCTGTGAAAGTAAAATGATGGTTACGTTTCAAGATTACTGTCTGGTATAATTGCAAATAATCTCTGAGTATTCAGTAGGGTTTTTCTGAGGTTCCTATTTGGAGTTCTGGCCAGAACACTGTGAAAAGGTGCACCATTTTAGCACACTAAGTTGTAACCATCTTGAGCAGCTGGTACTCAAAACTGGTCTTATAGTCATGATGTCCTATCAACCAGGTGGAGTTGTTATTGTGGGGCCCCGTCTTCTTCCTGGAAACTTCAAAGATTACTGCAGGAAAATTCATTGTTCATTGTGGAAGACGTAAACATTATTTATACAGACATATATTCAATGACAGGTATGATAGAGACAAACATAGGTTTGAAGAAAAGTAATTTTTTTCTAAATCCTTTCTTTCTGTCCCATATCAGATGGTTCCTGACATGAGACAGAAACTCTGAATTTTTCTTTTAACAACATTCTTGGATTTAGAGGACAGAGTCATTGTCCAACTCCAAAGCCAGTTTTGATTTCAAAGTGAGTCATGACTATAATTCTAATTAATATTCAGAGATTCTTCCCCTCAGATGACATGTCCTCATAGATCATAATTCTCTTTGCTTGATGATCCTATCTGGATAATTATCTTTTCCTCTTTAGGCCTCTAGATGTCCAGGGTCTCTTGACTTTTTTGAAGATGAGTTTTTTTTCCTGCAAAGATGAAAACAGAACCCTGTCCCAACTCTTATGAGGTTTCCTTAGCACCTGATACATCAACTCTGTGGATGAGCCATCATTTCTCTTTCTCAAGAGATTTCTCTTTTTCAAACCGAATCTTTATTAATTTTGATGGTATCCATAACTTTTCTTTTGTAGAAACAAGAGCAAAACCCCTTCCCCAATGTAGCACATCTTTTGGCTTCCATTGTGAGGTCAACACATCCTTGAAATACACTGGCTGATTTAATTCAGAAGACTTTTCTGTTATCCAATGTCTCTCTGCTGCTGGTGTCCCTTTCTCAGCGCTAAGAAAATTCAAGATTAATAAAGCATTATGTAATCTATTTCTGGGGGTATTTTCCATCCCTTTCTGTTTGTTTAACATATCCTTTATAGTTCTATTTGATCTTTCCAAAACTGTCTGGCCTGTAGTATTGTGTGGTATACCTGTAATATGCTTAATATTATAATAAGCAGGTACAGCCTAGCACCGCTTTGGTTTTTCACCTTGGTGCTGGTAAAATACTGAGAAATATGCTTTTCTTGACAAATTAAAAGCAATTAAATCAATTCTATACATGGGGCAAGAAGCCCAGAATTCACAAGCAGGTAGCACAAACCGAACCACGGCGGTGGGATGGAGGGGTTGCACGAGCTTGGGAAATTTCCAAGTCACCACACGCACTTAGCTCCGCTATGGTGGGGGTTTTACCAAAAAAACCGCTTAATAGGTAAAAGCAAGTCAAGCAGGCGGGGGTGGGAGACTTTCTGAGCTGTGGTCCACCTTGCAGGTGTGGAGTTTGGATCCACATGTGCGCCAGATGAAGATAGATACTAAAAAGAAATCCCACACTAGCTCTGAATTGAGTGTAGTAAAGGGTTATTTATTTAGGGCTAGACTCACAGATCACAGCCCTCTGCTTGAATGGGGAACAGCAACTGAATTCAGCAGCTGGAAGAGAGGCCAGACGCATGCTTTAAATAGACATTTATAGTATAAAAGGCCGCACCCAAGTGGGCATGTAACTTAAAGGCTACTGGCACTAGGAATTCCTACAGCAGTGGGTGGCACCTGCCCCTTGTTAAACCATCTTTGCCATCCTCCCTTTCTCCCTGCGGTTTGCATTGGCTTGCTGGTGTTTCTGGTATTGGAGCATTCAAAAAGACTACTAAATGCCCTTTTGATTTTGTGCCTCTGACTTTGGTTTGTGCTCTCCTTCTCCATATAGTGTACATTCAGACGTATCTTTTAGAACTCGTATTACAAAAGGTTCCTTGGTGTGGTTTTCATATTTAACATCATCTTCCCCATTTCATTTTTGATTTTAACTTCTATGATAAAAGACTTACTTCCTTGCTAACTTTGCCACTTTTATTTTAGGATTTCAATGACTCATTTTTAGTGTTCTATGGCAATCTATGCAGTTAAAAAGTGGCAAATGTAGACAGATTTTCAGGAAATGGTTGACTTGAACATTATATTGTGAACATAGTTGAGAGCAAATGGACAGGCTGTTTTCAGTGGCTTGAAATTTTTACTGAAGTTGACAGTTGTAAGAGAAGTTTTCTGTAGATTAATGTTAAATTTAACATTCCATGGCATGAAGTATTTTTATTCATATAATAAATTTGTATACAACTACAGTGTTTTCATGTTTATAAAATGCATAATAATATTGAATCTAGGAATATCCCTTCACAACCTATATAGTGAAATGGTAGTGTTTGAAATATCGTGCACATAGGTACTCTATAGCAACTCAAGCAAATCTGATCTTATATTCTTTAATATTAAGAATGTATACCATTCATTTTCAATGAGGAGTACACATCTTAGTACTTAGTTTATCAGCTATTGAGGGTTTGCTGAGATCAGGGTTCTCTACAGGCATGTTACAGTTAATGTCATTGTATTGTACGGCTTGTCCTGGCCTCATCTTACTTAATAGATATTTTCCTCCGAGAAGCCTCCTTTTGTGCCTCAGGCACAAAAAGAGACATCCCTGTCTCCGTAGCCTGCTTACCCTGTTTACAAAAGCTGTTCACAATAATCTAGTAACTTAACTTCTGTTCCCATCTGCTAACTCTGCTGTCATTCCCCAGCATTTCAGAGAGTGCAGGGACTTCTACCCACTAGATCCCTAGGTCCTATGGCAGTACCTTA